TTCATTAACTTTATGTCCTTGTCTAAGGCAGACAAAACAGATGCCATTAACTTTTGCGTGAGACCATCTCTCTTGAACGGTAAGCGCTAAATATTTTGGACATTTAAAAAATAGCATGGTCCTGGGAACACACACTACATTTAGCTCTCTCTCTCGAATTATTCTCCTGCTCCGATTGCAATGACAATTTGTCTTTAAGTTGTGTCCCTTTCTCGGACGATTCGCTAACCGTCCAAACCTACTATTAGCTACTCTCGCGCGGGATGCTATAAATTAGGTAAGCTCGTCAAAGGTCGGTTCTCTATTATCTTCAGTCAGTTCATCCACCCAGTCCGCCCACTGGGCTTGCATAACTTGAGGTAAGAGTCTTACTATTCTCTCTAAAGTAATTAGAGAATTTAAGTCGGCCGTATACTTCATCTGTTTCAAAACCATAGAACAATTTCCATCCTTATAGCTAGATTTGTCAGTTGCTCAGGATCACTGTAATCAACATTTGTAGTTTTGAATAAGTCTTCTAAAGTTTCCCTAGCGATTACATGCGCCTGTCCGAACAACCGTTTTAGAGTTTCTTAGGCCTTCTTGTAACCAAAAGAGGCTTCCAACATAACACAACCTCAATGGCTGTTTTCGCCTTACCCTTACAATAATCTATCAAACAAAGCAAGCGTTGACCATCATCCTTGACCCTTGATTCTACATAGGTCTCAAACTCTTTTAAAAATCTCCAATAACCTCTTGGTTGACCGTCGAAATAACTTGACTCAACCTTTGGTAATTCTGGACCTACGGAAGGCGTCGTAGGCATCACGCTTTTCGCTTGCTTCACGTCTAAACTAAGGTTTTCTATGCCATCTGCCATTATATCGCAACTAGATTCACTATAATTAAAATCGTCCCTATTAGAATATGAACCATGGCACATAGAGGCATCAGAAGGGACTTGCCTTGATTGAGGGGATCCATCCTTTTGTTCATCTCTTTTAGCTTCCACGAGCCTTGGACTTAATTTCCTTCGACGATTGTTTGGCATCGCAAACGAACGACCAAATATTCCCAGAGACAATAATTGAAATCAGCGAAACGAATACCAAACGAATTCGATCCAAACTACGTTTGGACTGCTGGACAGCTGCCTGGATGAGTTAGATACGCGCCCTCGCCCGATTGAAACCAAAACAAAGTAATTGGGTAAGATGACGGTTCTATAATTTATCATAAATTTAAGTGTACATTACTACCTAAACAAATATAACCACTCAGCTATCCAACCAATAATTGTTCAATTGATCAAATCTAAACTACACTAAATAAGAAAGTTGATAAACGATGCAAGAAAGTTACCAATCACCACAAATAAATGTTATTCTATCCTGTCTGGATAGATCACGTACAGATTCGTTCAAAAGGTAATAATTGGTCGCTCTATAACACAGAGTGTTTTTAATTCTGGAAGAGTGCTTCTATTCACAACCAAAATGCACAATTCTAGTCAACACAGGTCAAGCAATCAAAAGCAGGAACAAACCAAAATGGCTGCTGCCCAGACTTAGTATAAAGTAAAACAACATAAGTGCAGTTCGGGAAAAAACATGGGGAATTAGTGAAGGTGTAGTAAAAGCGAAAACTATAATAAAATATAAATATTAACAATTCAAATGTAGTCAAAAATTTAACAATGTACAACTAAGAGAATCGACAGGAACAAAGTGCAAGTATAAACATGGAGGGATTTTTACAAACACACAAAGCATTCAAAATGGATCTTACACCGGTCCCCAAAATCCCTCCATATCACACAAGCTACCTTGATGCCTATGGTCATGGTTCATTATGTAGCATATGACACTATAGGAACAAGTAGGACTTACAACAGTACGCCTACTCGACCTACATACATTGATACGAACATTCGAGCCTTCAAGGAGGCATAATCTACGTATATCTCCTGACTAATCCACCGTTCGTACGAACAACCACTGTTCTAACTCTTCCGTCGTCATCTATTTCACAATCTTCAACTACTCCTAAGGGCCATTTTCCACGGGTCGATATGTCCGAAGCCACGATCACTACATCCCCTTCTGAAATTGCGGTGTTCAACTAACACTTTTACGTTTTGTAGGGACGGTAAATACTCTCTTAACCACCTTTTCCAACACATTAGCAAGATGATTAACCTGTTTCCAACGTTTGTCATATTATCTCTGATGCTACTTCTTCGACTATTCCGTCACATTCTCTCAATAATAACAATCTACTTCAATAACTGGAACGAACAAAACTTGGACGTAACAATGAGAGCTTTTTCCCAGAAGAGCCAGGATTGAGAGGTTGTCAACTAGGAATTCTTCGTTTGTGAATACACAGTCTAAGCGCGATGGTGCCTGACCGTTTCTCCAACGAGTTGCCGGCCTCACATTTTCATATAAGCCCAAGTCATCGATGAGGTTGAAGAACCGAGCTTCAATTGAGTTGTCGCCTACAGTGTACGTGTGTTCCGCGAAGTTGACTCTAGGGAGATCAAAGTCCCCTAGAATCAGGATGTGTGTGAAACCGAGACGGGTAGAGCGGGATAATCCTTCCAGCATGCGACTATCGTACTCGATGTCGGCAGTTGGCTTCCTGTAAATGACTCCGTCTAGACACCTCGATGTACTAGACAATCGTACGGAGCACCATATGGATTCCTCAAGATTGTTAGACTCGAGGTTGTGAACTTAGTGCACCTCCAAGCAAGAGCTTATGTATATGGCTACTCCGCCCCCAATTCCTGTTTTTCTGTCATCGCGGAACAAAGACATCCCAGGTAATGCTAACTCATGGTCCGAGAACTGAGAAGATATCCAGGTTTCAGATATTCCTATCATATGGGCCTTATTAGCGTTGCTAAGCTCACGTAATTCATCCAGTTTGTTTGGTAGACTCACGGCGTTCATATATAAGCAGTTTAAGCTTTCGATTTTGAACACGTGAGCTTCGTCCTGTTTTTCTGTATGAGCCTTATGTGAATGGACAGGTAGCCCAACTATATGAGTTTGCCGGGGTGGTAGGCCCTCTCTTTTACACGTTTTTTTACATCTAGACAGTCCACAAGTGGAATGGCCAGCTCCATCTTGCCTTTGTGTTTGGTCCTAGCTTCGTATGGCCTATCCGGGTGCATGTGGATTCCAGGTGGCAATCGACGTCTGTTGGCACAAAATGCTTCCAGAGTTGCAGCTGCCATGTGGGAGGATGGGAAGGTTATCTTCGTTAGACGAGGTCTATGATCACCCTCCTTCTTGGCTAGTCTCGTCACATGCTGAGTCAGTATGTGTTTGAGCCTCAAGGACTGTTTGATGAATTTCCATTCCCTGATGTCAGAATTTGATTGAGTAAGGTCTGCATTTTCCGGTATACCTTGCACAATTATGTTTCTTCCGCGGAAAAACTTCTCGCGAGATTCTTTATGGGTGTTCCGTATGATATTGCGCTCAGAGTACGGTATGTCGGGCAATATTCTCACGTTCCCATCGGATTTCAGCAAGTGACTTGCTAGCAAGACGTCCTCTACGTCTGCAGCATTCTTAAGTGTTACTCGAAGAAGCCTCGGGTGATTTAGATGCTTAGAATCCTTTCCTCGAGTGAGCCGGGTGACCGTCAAAGGCTCTATTCTAGGAAGTTCGAGCTTCTTGTTCAATTCACCCCAGAGCATCCTGTCGTTTTTGTCTTGCAGACTGAGAGGAAGATCAGGATTGTCAACGAGGTTCATGATCATGAGAGAATCGTTACGAACTGTTGATTTACCAGGTTTTCCGATGGGTTCAGGTTTAATAACTTGTTGTTTGGAGGTCAGTGCGCGTTTTTGAGTCTTGGGCTCTTTGTTGACCGGACGAACAGTCTTGGGGGTAGACTGTGTGACCAAATCACCAGTTATTTTCCGTACAGCAACACTTGGGTTGCTCGGCTTAGGCGGTGATGCCTGGTTCTTTTGGGCTCTCTTAACGTGGGTCGAATCACCTACAAGGTTTTTGGGAACCACTGTTGTGTTCAGGAACCCTAAGCTGGGAGACCCGAGTTTACTTAGGGAGTCTAGTGCCGTCGACGTAATAATGGTGCCGAGCTTCAACACGTCATCATTAATGCTAATGGATGCTCTATCGATGGTATGCCTGTCAACATCCCTAATCTTGTGTTCATTGCACGCTCTTGTTTGTCCACCGGTTTTTTTTACTATCGTTATCCAAGTTAACTGACAACTTGTTCCGAAGACCTGTCAGTAGAACAATGATGTTACTCAGCAAGACTACAGCGTCCGTGCTGCACGTGACACACACACACTTTTGCTCTGACTTGCTGAGTCTATTGTAAGCAGTTGCCATTAGATCTGGGCACGCTTTGTGGAACCAACCTAAGCAGTTGTCGCACTGCATGCCAGTTGTAACAGCAAAACGGCATCCCGGACGTTCGCATGAGTTTTTCATGGCTGTGTTGAAGCAAACTATGTTATAGATGCTTGCAAAAGCCTAAGACCTTTAAAAAACACTAAAAAGCACACTGAAAACGGACAAAAATAGATCAAACGAGTGATATAAACCGAAACTAGTCTATACGTGAAAAACAAAAAAACCGAATAGTAAGCTGAGGCAAAACCACAGGTATTTATTAAATATGGTGAAACTCAAAAAAAGTAATCTACCGAACGTATAGCTCAAGATAGATTCTTTAGAACTGAAATGGTACTTTTGTTGCGTAAGAACACAGCAAAAGTTTGATAAATGCAAATCAGGACTAAAATTTCAGTTCGAAAAGCGCGCGTCAAAGTTATGTCCAATAAAACTACTTAGATCATCATCACTGCCAAAGATTTACAGAACCGTTTATTTTCGGGATTTACTTATCACTACACTGATTTCAAAGAAAAAACTGTTATAGAATAAAAAGCAAGCCAAAATGAACACTTAAATGAAGAGGAAACTTCATGTAGGCCCTTTGTAACAAATTCGTTTTCGATGTTGAAACTGGTTACCTTAATATGGGAACGCCTGAAAATTATGATAGTTTGCGCTTATTCAACCAATACCGAGTAATTCTGACAATCTCCTCTGTAAAACAAGCGGTTCAAGGTCGTTGCGACGAAAAAGCGGGCGGATCCGGAAGCACCTCTGTTATAGAAACGGTATCAACCTCCAGTTTCGAATACCAGGTTGTCTTAATACGCTCAATGTGTTATTTCTGATTGTCGTCGGTTGTTTCATTGATAAGTGTGAGTGCATTCCTTGTGCTTACTGAGTTTTCGACCCATCTTTTCTGTTGTTAATTTGGAAAAGAATATATATTCTTCTCCAGATTAACATACTGCTCTTCACACTACCTCAGCATACAAGGTACTTTTAGGTTGGATGCAAACCCAACCAACGTTAGACGTATACCTTGTGTTCCCAATCTCCCAAGTTTGGGGAATTTCGGGGAAACCTGCAAAGTCAAATGACCTTCACCAAAGTTCGGGGAAACACCAAATTTAGGAGAATTTCCCCAGATCTGGAAAACTTTTTGGGTTTTGGTGCCATTTCGAAATTTCTCGAAAGCTTACTATAACAGCGTCCCCAAAACGGGCCAAATTTTCCCCGAAATTTGGAGATCGGGTTTGTACCGTTCCTTTCGGCAACACACCAGCCACATAATGGCATCGATCATTGTCATCTTGTCCGAACAGGGCTCTCCTTGTACACCAAAACATTCACCTTATGAAAGCATCGTAAATCGGTCGACAGACTTCCCGCTCTCGAACGAACGAAAACGTAAGCAGGTTTTATTTACTTCATATAAATAAAATATTAGACATCCGTTTACGAATCCTAAACCCTTTAATTCCAAGTGTACGTCATAAGTCCATTTGGTTACCACAATTTCTAAACAACTTACCAATACATCACTTGTAAATTAATATGGGTAAACTACTACGTGCGAATTCCCGCGGCACTCCATAAGCTACAAATTGGGGTTGTCTGTATCTCAGGAGTATGAGGGTTATTCAGACTAAGAACTAACTTGTGTCAAGTACTTAAGTTGTTAAACCATAGCATAGTCAATAAGTGTTTATTTCGTGTGGTAACTATTCATCAGACGTTAGTCGAACAAACTTCCGTTCATGAATTGAAATCACCAACAATTAATACTTTACTCACCAAGTGTTTAGATTTAATCGTGTTGTTCTAATATTACTGCACTTTATCAGTGGCTTTGCTTTTAAAATTTCATTTGTAATTGATATCTCTTGGTATTTTGGAGTATCATCGTTTTTCACTTCTAGTTATTGGAAACTAAATACGCCCACACACTCCGCTACATTTTTGGTCAGGCTTTATTCTCACGGAACTGAACTTAAAATTGAAATGTATGCGTTATTAGGTCGATCACCTTCCCTTATTTCAAAAACCATCCGATTGAGTAAAATATTCAGCACAAGTTGTAAACTGACCTCCAGTAAGTCAATATCTTTTTGAATAAAACCAGATGTGTACTATACCAAAAAACACGAGTGGATCAAGGTTAATGGTGATGTTGGGATTGTAGGAATTTCTAAATATGCTGAACAGAAACTGGGTGATATAGTGTACGTTGAGTTACCTACTATTGGAGACAAGATCAATGTTAATGGTATTTACTGGTATTATGATAACTAAAAGTAGACCAATGTGCCGTTGTCGAATCAGTCAAAGCTGTTAGCGAAGTATACTCACCAGTGTCAGGTACCATAATTGAAGTCAATCCAGATGTTGAAAAAAATACAAAAATAATCAATCAGTCCCCTTTAGATGAAGGTACGTTATGCGTATTTGAATCTTCTGGTTGCATACAAAACTTTTCCGTCAATATGAAGTCGTATTTCTCAAAAGGGTCGTCAGAAAATTCTGCAGTGTAATTAGTTACTCAAAATGAGCACCATAAGCATGATCCCAAAAAATCAAATAAATAACGAGAAATGAAATTTTTTAAGTAAGATCCAAGTCCATCCATCCCACTATCATCAGTTGTGAACCACGTCACCGAGCTTTCAGTTATAGTTTTCCAAGTACTGAGCATCCCAGTCAGGTCGCCTGTATCGCTTCAACGAAAAATCTGTTGAGTTGTAGATTGATAATTGCTATCTTCATCTGTTTACCCATCTTAATACTGTTTCATCTTGCATCAAATATGAGTACTGGTTTGGAGTAGACAACATATCTAGTCAACGTCGACTAGCGTGCTGTGATTACCCAAAACTATGCATCTGACCTCAGGATTATCGACTTATTCCCCCTCCCTATTTTAGCAACACTTCGATTTTGCATTTCCGACTGCAAACTCCAGATTCGATTATGGCGTTCGTCTCTCCTTTACTAAATATGAAAATACTACGACAGGAAATTATTATAAAGCTCACTTTGACGACAAAAATGTGGAAGTTATATTTCAACAGAAACCATTCCGAGGCTTAGTGGACCTTAAAGAAGATATGATTTGCTACAAAGAAAAACACCAGTAACAACTATGCACAACGTTCTATTTTAGGAAATAGATTTTTAATAAAACATCTCAACTAGCTCCAAACACGATAGTAGGCTGAAATATATCGAGCACAAGCTGAAATGTCTTCGTAATGGCTACGAAAAGTGCTAGACAACATGATCCAAAGGAATGCACAAGAACGCAGTAGTAGTTGGCACCTAATTTCGGCTCATCAAGTAGACAAGTCAAAAGGTCGACCGTCAATGAAATTGCCACCAAATAGGCAGGCTAGTGATTTATTTTTAGACCGTTTTACTGAAATAGTAGATAAAATGTTCCAAGTAATAATCCAACTTTCCTCCGATTCCCCGCCATCCCTCGTCCTAAATAATGACTACCTTATTGGTAACATATCTAATTAGAATTTTGACGTGCGATCACGCTCCATTAAAGTGCTCAGGTTTCATTCTCATATGGCACGTTTAGGATTTAGTAAGCAGTGGTTTTGTTTCTTGATCCTAATCGCAGGTTCTTACTCCTGAAGCAAAACAAAATTGCTCATAAGACCTCGACTTATTTCGTTCTCCACACTAAATCCGTAAATATGTTCCGGAGACGAATTTATTTATAAAAGGGATTACTTTAATTACTTCGAATCCACGGCATTGATTTCCATCTCCAATTTGGTACTCTCGCTTATGTTGTGTATGTTCTTGTCACAAGGCACTAAGAAAACACACCCAAAAATTGTTTTAAATCTTATTATGGCAAACCGGATCTTCGTATATACTGCATAACAGCCTATGTTGTATAGTTAGTATTATATTTTACCTTTTATGCATGTAAATATGCATAGAGAAATTTTAGCGTTGATTCTGTCATCCTTGTTTTAAAGCTAATATTTTGTTAGGAAACGCATAGCTTTTAGCTTAATTTTAACAGTTACTGTTTATTTCATTTTCCAGGCTGGCTTTTCAAGCTTCGACTTTCAGACTTATCACAAGTCAAGGACCTTTTATCTGAAGAAAATTATGATGAATTTTTGACCTCTGAATCTTGATGTTGTAACGTATTCTTCAGTTCGTTTCTTTAGGCATTACAAACCTCCACCGTTCTTATTTTGAACAATTAAACGTTATTTAGCGTGTGATTGGGTTGCTAAATTTTTCGAGACCACCTCAGCACATTTTAATCTTAGTTTTATATATTTTTACTTGTGAATAGCTTCTATTTATAGGACATAAACGTCTGAGTACATAATGGCAAAGTCATAATATTTGTAGGAAGAGGAAAGAATCGTACAGCCTGTAAATAAACAGACACCCATGAAATTTCATTAAAGGTAAAGTTCGGTAGAAATACAGTCTAGAAAGTTCTCCAATTAAGGAAATCCATCTCACTTTTATGAACAATGTAGCTAGAAACTACAGTGTGATTCTTGGCCCGTGTACAATGTCTCAACATATTTAGTTGCAGCATCTCTAGGACCCCAACTAAGCAATCTTAATGGACCTACAGGTCTCACTCCTATTCGCCTATATTGCATATCATGACGCCATGTCATAAGCTGACCACATTTTCGCTTCCTCGATTTAGTCGCTGCGTCAGCAAGTAACGTGCGGTGTGAAAGGTACCAGAATAACATTAGGAAAAAACTCGAAGTCAGTGTTTCAAGATAGCGATACTGAAGGTAATATAGATGTGTTTAAACACACTCCCAAACCTCAGCATTTCTGGCCTTGTGTTCTCACCGTATGTTAGCAATCCCTCGTAAACATTGTTAACCAAACTCAGAGAATCTCCCAATATTCCAAGGTCAAAAATTCTAGAATTCATAAGCACAGACAAACTTTGCTCGCCGGTGCGTTATCAAACTTTGATACCCAATCTTATGTCATTACTACGCCAAAGAGGATGCAGATGGACATAAGCCACCGATCTAAGATCCACTTGTCAAGGACTTCCCAAATTGTTATTTTTTCGAATGTAAACCCTGTTACTATCCCGATAGTCTTCAGTTGTTAGGATGAAGGTAAATGAATGTTCAAATTTTAATCCTTGGGTTGGCTTGTTAGAAGCACGTTGGATATTCAAAGCCTGGGATTCGGGACTGCCTGTCACGAATATTGTCATGAAAAGATGTCTCAGTATCAGAGCCGCGCTAAGTAGTTTGTGAGTATACGTTTCTCTTCTTTTATGCAGCAAGTTTCTGCATTGGGTTGCAAGGTGACAACTATCTTCGTTTTTTTGTGCGGCTAACGTTTGCTGCGTGGTTGTACTTCGTTCTATAGTTCAAAAGACTAGTAATTGTTATCACTGATTACAATAGAAAACTACAATTTAACTGTGGCGTAGGTCCCCTTCAATTTATGTCTAACTCCCCTTGAAATGTACATTTACACACGCCTTTAATATGTATTGTAGTTAGGCCCAAATATATATACAGTTCACGAACAGTATAATTCAAGAAATAATCGGAAAACTAGTTGCACAATAATTATTATTATTTATTTGAACACATAAATATTGGTACAAGAGAGCGCCAATATATATGCGCCACACAAAACAATGAAAATTCGAAGAGAAATAGAAAGAGAAAAAAAACTAGGGAACGCAAAAGAAAAAGAGAACAATGACGAAGAGATTGGAGTAAGGTAGTGTGGTAGTAACGACGGAACGAAAAGGTACAATCAGAAGAAATCTTTCAGGTAAAGGAGACACAACCACTTTTTATGAAGAAAGTAAAAGAAGGTTACAGCAGGATCGCCACTGGCTTCTATTCTGAGCCATATCTGATAACGTCTCTAGCCACTGTGTAGCACCATCTCTCGGACCCCAACCAGGGAGTCGTGAAGGACCAACACAAGCCAGTCCTTTGCAGCTTTCTTTCATGCCACGACACCATGTCATGCACTGACCACCTCTCCGCCTCTTCCAACCAGTCCCAGAGTCGGCAAATAATGCACGACGTGGAATTCTCTGGGACGACATTCGGAGAACATGTCCAAGCCACCGAAGTCGGTGTTTCAAGATGGTGACACCAATTGAGTTATCATCTCTGTGCCCGAACACACGATGCCGAACCTCTGCATTACTGACATGGTGTTGCCACTGAATGTCAGCAATCCTTCGGAGACAGCGATGATCGAACACAGAGAGTCGTCTAACGTCCTCAACTCGGAGAGGCCAGGTTTCACAAGCATAGAGCAAAACTGCTCTCACCGACGCGTTGTAGATCCGACCTTTTACAGCCAGACTAACATCACGAAGGCGCCAAAGGTGGCCCAGATTGGCATAAGCCGCTCTGGCTTTCACTATTCGTGCATTGATCTCATCACTCACACCCCCACCAGCACTTATGCAGCTACCCAGATACACGAACTTCTCAACTACGTCTATCTGCTCACCGTCCAGGGTGAGTACAGGATTAGAATCCTGCCAGTCTTGTAGAAGTACTTTGCACTTCGAAGGTGCAAAGCACATACCATACCTACGGACACTGATTGCCAACTGATTAAGTGCGGATTGCATGCCTTGGGCATTATCGCACAGTAAGACAATATCGTCCGCATACTCAAGGTCGAGAAGTCTTTCTCCAGGCAACAGATCCACACCACCATTACTTACATTCATCAGAGCTGTTTCCAGAATGTCATCGATGGCAAAGTTGAAGAGGAATGGTGAGATTGGGCAACCCTGCCTAACCCCACTGCTCGAATGGAACAATGGAGAGAGGTGGTTGTATGCCCTCACTCTGCCTGAGGTGTTTTTATATAGGGCTTTTAGGATGTTAATAAACTTCTCAGGCACACCCTTCTTCAATAGACAATCCCAGAGAACAGTCCTGTCCAACGAATCGAAGGCAGCCCTGATGTCAAGAAACACTACGATTGTTGGCCTTTGAAAAGTATGGCGGTGTTCTAACATTTGGCGGAGGGTGAAGATATGATCAATACATCCTCGACCAGAACGAAACCCAGCCTGCTCCTCGCGAGTCAATCTTTCTCGGGTTTTGAACAACCTACGAAGAATGACGGAAGCCAATAGCTTGGACGCAATCGGAAGTAAACTTATCCCCCGATAGTTGTTACAAGAACGACGTGAACCCTTTTTAAAGATAGGGACAACTATCGACTCATTCCATGACGTTGGTACACTCTCTAGTTCCCAAACCTTTGTAAACAACGTCGTCAATTCCTTAGTCAAAAAGTCACCACCATCTTTAAAAAGAGCCGGAGGTAAGTCATCTGGGCCAGGTGATTTGTAACGCTTCAAGAGTTGGAGTTCCTTGCGGACTTCCTCCTCATTTGGTGGATCAGTCGTCACCGGCCATGGAGGGCAGGACAGTCTGACCGATGTTGCCGGAGCAGCAGGCCAGTTGAACTGCCCTTCGAAAAATTCTGCCCATCGTCCAAGACGTCGATGGATGTTAGTGATTGGCATCCCATCATCCTCGCAGATTGTTTCACTCACACCAGACTTCTTGCTGCCAGTGGCTCGGATGAGCTGGAAGAGCTTCCGGTAGTTACCAGATGCAGCTGCTGCTTCCAGCTCATTAGCACGCATCGACCACCAGGCTTCTCGGTCCTTACGCAAGCTTTGCCCAATCTCCTTACGTAACATCCTTCGTTTATGGTCAAACTCACGGTCACCCGGAGTAGACCGACGGGCTTCAATGAGTTGTAAGGAACCAGAAGAAACCCAGTGCTTAAAGCGGGACGTTTCGCAAACCCACAACTGACTGTTCCCGCCATTTTCATGGCGTCATGCAATTGCAACCAATGCTCATCTATACTTTTCGGTGGAGTGGTAGCTAGCCTAGAGGCTAGCTCGGTTCGATACTTACTTGCAACAGAAGTTGCAACCAGCTTGCTAACATCAATCCGTTGATGGCGTTCACTTCGTTGTCCACTGAAAAGTAAGGTAAGATTGGCGCAGACCAAGGCATGGTCAGAGTCCAGATAGGTACTCCAAAAGGAGCGGCAGTCTTTACACAACCACGCCAGCGGTAGCTGATCGCGATGTGATCAATCTGAGTCCAGGCTTGAGATGCAGAGGGAGGACGCCAGGTGGCACATCGGCGATGACTGTGCCGAAAGTTAGTGCTAGCCAGAAACAGGTTGTGGTCTGTGCAAAGTTGCAGTAGACGGTCCCCGTTATCTGACCTGCGACCAACGAGTCCCCATCGGCCACCTAAACGACTCTCTTCTGTGCCTAGACGCCCGACCTGAGCATTCAAGTCTCCGGCTAGTACTACAATATCTGTCGAACGCACTTTCTGGAGAAGAACTGATAACTGGTGGTAAAACTCATCCTTGATTGCATCCGGGCTGCAATCTGTCGGGGCATAGGCGGAGATGACGAAAAGACATCGTTTCTCACGCCGATTTCTTCTCACTTTGATGGAACTTTCTAATCTAACAGCACATAACCGACTGTTAATGGGGATCCAATCGACTAGTGCTGCCTCAGCTCTAGCGCTTAGTGCGACACCAACGCCAGCAAGACCAGACGAAGATGCCACAGGGTCCCCGGATAAGCGCACGTAAAACAAGCTTTTCGAAGCGACAGATGGAGATCGAATTTGTAGTACTTCGCCAGAGTCTTGAATACGGGTCTCGGATAGACAACACACGTCGATATTAAGACTTTCCAAAGACATAGCCAGCCCTATCTGTTGTCCGACCTGCATAAATGTGCGAACGTTGAAGGCAGCCAGTTTGAATGGTGCACGTGGTTTCAGAAAATCTGCTTCAGTCCTCGTATTCGGTGGTAACATACAATTTTCAACCGGACAGTGACTCGAGAACGTTTAGATACAGTCGGATTTCCACCAAAGACGAGCCGCTGTATAAGTATAAAAGAGGGTGAATAATGTGGAAAATAATAATAATAATGATAATAATAACAATAATGACAATAATAGTAGTAATAATAATATAGTATTAATAATGACAATAATTGTAATGATAATAATCTGAATCAATTGTTTGTTTTTCAAAGCGAGAAAGGTAATTTCCATAGTCATAAAGAGTTCATCAATTTGTGTGTGGGCTGTGATACTGCCCGGGTGCCCAAACCGAAGCAGGTGGTTATCTTAGGGGGCCACTCCCCGAGCCTTTGACCTAAAGGTCTAACCCACAAGGCAGTGGAGCATCGTAAGGAGATGCAGTCCCATGGTAGCCGGTGACCAACGATTGGTTCATACGCCATTCGTTCCC